TTGAGGGAGACACGGCTAGGTCCAACACTTAGTGGGTGTAGAGTGGGATTACAATAGTGTGTTATTGTGAAGTTTTCGGTTAGCTAGAAAACCGAGTGTGAGGTGTAAACGTTATTCAGGTGAACGTAGAAAACCCGGTTGATAGTGGATTTCTCCCCGAGTGTGGGGAGCGGAGACGTAGGACGGAAGGTCCGAACTCCGTGATCATATTGCTTGTTTGAGTGTGCTTTGGCGTTCATTCATATTTATGTTCATATCTTATATCGCCATTGTGCATTGCTCATTTCTATATCATCCACTATCTTGTTTAGATTGTTTACCCTTGTGTTAGTTTATATATCCTTGCATATATATTTTATCATATAGGATATATCTCTTTATTCATATTGCTTATTCTTGCTTATAACTCTTGTATATCTATCTTGCAAGAATATACTTGTTAATTAATTTTAATTGGCATTTAAATCGGATTAGATTAGCATAAGACCCTAATCACCCCCCCTCTAGGGTCCAACAATATACAAGATCAAGCTTCATCCATGTTACCAAGATCGAGCATCACGAAGATCATTATTTGGTATATTTAGTTTTTAGGAGTTTATACTTTATGTGTTGGTACTTAAAACTCATATATACACACATACACGTTTTGGGTTTTATAGCTTTCAAGTTTATATAAATATGAAACGAATAGGTATTTTTATATACTTACATATTTCATATTTATTGTTTTTTTTTTTTGATTTAGTTATACAAATACAAAACAATAGATATATTCATATACGTACTCATACGTTTCATATTTATCATTTTGGTTTTTACAAAAATGCATATATTATGCAAAACATCATTTTTTGGAAAATATTATGTTATTGGTTTATGGACCAAACAACACTAGTTTATATCTTTTACTTAGTCTATAAATCCATTCAAGAGTTTTCAAAACTTTGTTTAAGTCAAAATGTCAAAAACAAGTGTGTTGACATTTCATATTTTGACCTATTTTGTAAAATGATAAGTTTTCATAATTAGGAGATGCAATTTAAAAAATTCATTTTGTAACATGTTCATTTTCATGTTTATAATTATTTTTCAAAATTTTATATTTTTTAGAATTTATTTGCTATTAAAGGCACTTTAAAACTCAGTTTTCATACATGAACAGTGCTTGTGCATGTTTATAAGCCGACTTATGTACTGTAGCAAGTCGACTTATGAACTGTTCTGGAAAATATAATTTTAATGTACTAAGTCGACTTAAAATTACAGCAAATCGACTTATAGCAAGTCGACTTATAAACGATTTTCATGTTTGTTATTTTTGTCTACTGAGTCGACTTACAACTAAAACAAGTCGACTCATAAGACATAAGTCGACTTATAAGTCGACTTATGAACTAGCCATTACACAGTGACGGCTATTTTCTAGTTTTTGTTTATTTTATTATTTTATGGGTTTTTGATGTTTTCTTGGGCTGGTTTTTTCTACCATATATATACCCCTTTGCCATAACTATTTTCAACCACCACGAGTGTTTTAAAAATAAGTTTAAGGGTGTTTAAGTTTTGGTTTAAGTGTGTTTATAAGTTTTGTTTATGAAGAGATTTTCACAAGAGGAAGAAGAGATCATCCATTCGTGTTTGGGCTTTCATCTCATCTCTTTCACTCTTGTTACCATTAGAGAAGTTTTCTAAACTCAATCTCTAGCTATTTATATGTTTGATTATCATTTCCATAAGCTATACTTTAATTGAGTTTATATTTGATTTACTCATTGAACACACATAACTTTTGAGCTTTTAGTATTTCATATTAAGTATAATTTGGGTTGTGGTGAGTGGATCTTGAGTGTAAGCTAAATTGAGTTCTCATCCATTGTAGAGAACAAACAATTTGTATTTGAGCTTTATTTGTGAGTTCACTTTGTAATACACTTGTACGCCGAGAGAAGTGTGTAGTGAGAGACGGAGTCGATTCCAAGAGGAGTAGCGTCAGTAGTAAAGCCTAGGGAGAGGTTGTAAATACGAGTACTTGAGGAAGGCGATACGAGCTAGAGATCAATACTTAGAGGATATAAAATATGATTACAAGAGTGTGAGTCGTGAAAGTTTTCGGTGAGCTAGAAAACCGATTGTGAGGTGTAAACATTTTGGGTGAACGTTGAAAACCCGTTATGATAGTGGATTCTCCCCAGAAGTGGGGAGCGGAGACGTAGGTCGGAAGGACCGAACTCCGTGATTATTTTCTTGTGTTTGCATTGGTTATTTGTCCAATATCTTCTTTATATTGTTTCATATCTATTTCACCCTTGTGTTAATTATATATCCTTGCACATATAAGTTGTTGAATATCATACTTTCTAGAATATTTGTTAATAAGTTTTTAATAGCATTAATATCGGATTAGATTAGCATATGCCCTATTCACCCCCCTCTAGGGTACTTTCATAACAGTCTTGCCCGTTTGTGGATCCTACACAAGCAAAGTATCAGAAAAAATGAGAATAGTAGGCCAGCCATACAGAAAGAACTAATAGAAATTAAATTCAAGCACAACTGAAGAGCCACATAGATGAGGCCAAGTGTTAGATGGTAAGATGGGTTATTTTGTGGGGGTGATAGAGCCATACTGAGTGATAGGCAGTGGTTGTCTAGCAGCTGTGTAGATAGTGGGAAGAGAAGATGAAGTGAAGACATAGGATAAGAGTAAGGCATTACGAGTCATATGAAAGAAACAACCAGAGTCAAAAATTTAGAGATTATTCATACCAGAGACTTGTGCACTTGATGAGTCAGCAAGGTCAGATAGTGATATAGAAGTGGTATGTTGAAAAGCATCAAGTTGATGGCGAAGACCTTCAATACCTTGAATAGTAGTGTCATAAGTGGTAGATGATATAGCATTGGCCAGCAATCCTGGTGCGCGAGAGGGTTGAGACAGAGGGGGTTGTCGACCACAACTGTATCTGAGGAACATAACTCAAGATGAAGATTGAAGCATTTCTCAAGGCGGTGTCCCTCCTTCTTGCAATATGTGGAAAAGAGATTAGATCGAGCCTGTTGAGAAGTACGATTCATAATAGGAGCAGTGATGGTACAGACAGAACAGTCTCAAATGAAAAACATGAGCATATGTTGTCAAATTGAGTCGTGCGGGTTACTGCCGTGTCTCACAAGTAGTAAGAGCTCCCATAAGCAAGGCCAAAGTTGAAAATTGAGGTTGATGAAGTAGTTGGTCAGTCATAGTTGAATATTCAGGAAGGGACTGAAACAATTGATGTACCTCGCGCCGTTCATACCAAGCTAGCCAGTCTTCGTATGTGCAATCACGTCCAGGAAGCATGGAGCATAATTCTATCCAATAGGCTTGCATTTGACCAAAATAAGACTACAGAGAGAAACTATATTTACGTTGTATAGCAACGTATTGCGGAATATATGCCTCCCGTGCACCGGAGCACTCTGTGAAGCGCTTAGTGAGACAACTCCACATGGCCCGAGCAGAAGGAAGTGAGCAAATCTCGACAGTGAGACCAGAGCCAACACAGCGAGTGAGATAATTCATGATATGAAATTTCTACAACTGCTAGTCTGAACTCTCCTTGACATAGAGAGCACGTGCAGTTTGAAGATCGATATCATCACTGCCAGATGTAACAGTGCTGATGGACGGTGGAACTGGTCCCGAACTAGTGAGAAGATCAAGCAGATTAGCACCACACAAGGCATTTGTGACAATGGTGGACCACCCCACCCAATCACTTTGATCATTGAGAAGCTGAGGTTCTTTCATAGCGACCTTAGGGTCTAACAGGGAAGACCTACTTAAGTGTAACACAAATGTGGAAGGCCCACAACTAAGTGACAATATAAGGGAGTCCCACCCATGAAAGATCAACACCGATATTGAGACGTTAAGACGTCGAGATAGATTGAAATGGCGATGTCGTTACTGATTGTGATGCCGTTCATTTAATGCCGAGAGACCGCTAAAAAAGAAGCCGAGAGACGGCTAAAAAAAGAAGCTGAGAGACGGCTTGAAACTGTGATGTCGTTACTGAATCTGAAATGGTGATGTCATTCGTGTGAGGCAGAGAGACGGCTGTCATGGAGGCCGTGATGTGGCAAGCACGGAGGCGACAACGAAGAGGCCGCAATGCAGCGAGGCCAAAATTTGGCAAAAAGATAACCTCGCTCTGATACCATGATGAGTGAGAGAGAGAGAGAGAGAGAGAGAGAGAGAGAGAGAGAGAGAGAGAGAGAGAGAGAGAGAGCTTTGGGATAAATTTCCCTTAATTAAAGTATTGTATGTGTACACCTATATATATACAAGTAGAGAAGAGTGATGTGTCCTCTCATAACCAATGTGAGACTAAACCTAATATCAACAGCCACATCCAGCACCATTCATATTATGAGAGAGAGGAAGCGGAGTTGATGATAGAAATCTAGGGGTTTCCCCCATTTTCTCTGATGAAGAACAAGAGAGAGAAAGGGACGGATGACGCGAATGAGGAGATGAAACCAAATGATACCCGCTTCATCTATCCCATCATTAATAATTTAATATTATCTCTCCCACTTTTCACCTATTTCATTCCCACTTCCAGCCATTCGGCTGAGATCTCATTTCCACCAAAAACCCGTCCTGTTCTCTACTTCTAAGAATCATTTGTTTTTTGAAACAAACACAACAATAGGAAGAATTATACCCTCAAAATCTTTACTGTCAATAAACCATGCCTTTCCACTCTTTCTTGCTTTTTTTTTCTTCAAACAAACACACCCTTATACGTATAGGATTCGCTAGAAAATTTTGAACGTTCAGAGGGAGGTTTCTTGAGTCGCTGGTTTCACTTTTGTGAAATTTACCCCATTATTGGGACTCGGAGCACTATACTGCGTGGAAAACTGGACCCTTACGCACATGGGCCATTACCAAAAGCCCATACCTATAAGCCCAAGATTTATCGGTCCCGATATAAAACCTCCTCTTTCTTCCCATAAACCCTGAACCCTAGCTCCCACCTCCTCATCCTAAGCCCTCGGAAACGAAGAAATGTCTTCCTCCATGGCTTCCTTCGTCGTTCGCAAATCCCTTCGCTCCGCCTCCAAGCTCCGCCATTTCTCTTCGCTGCCCACCTTATCACCGTCTTCTCTCGTCGCTCCTAGGGTTTTGACCCCGCAAACCCTAACCCTAACCAGGACTCTCTCTCCGTTCTCGGTCCGATTCGCCTCATCTAAGCCGGCGAACGCTGAGGATAAGATCAAGCGCGCTGATGACAACCTCTTGAGCGTTCTCGACGACGAGATTGAGTGCGCTCAGGAAGCGGACGAGGAGCCCAGTCAGGTATAATACCCGATAACCCGTTGGGTTTTGGGCTTCCCCATTTTTATGTATTTTAATTTTGTGAAGTACGAATCCGGATGGTTATTTGTGACCGCTGGTATCATGATTTGATATCTGTGTTAATCATTTGGGGGTTCTGGCGATCTGACGTTTTGTTCAATTTTTATGCATTTAAGGATATGCATAATTACTTTTCACGCCATTAAAGGCCCAAAAACTACACCAAAACTATTGAGTTTTAGTGGGTGTCGAGGATTGTAATTTTATACCCTTACATGTGCCTGCAGGTTGAGCTTTATTTTCATGGACTGATGTCAAAATCATTTTACATGGCGAAGTACGTTTCTTATAATTTGTTTACAACGTTTGTCCTGTGGGATTTGAATTGAATATGTCGGAAGCCCCTACCACTATGCAAAATTTTTAAAGCAATGGCGATGATTGATAGGTACTCGATGATCTGAGCATCCTTTTTCATGGCTTCAAACCTAAACTCATATTTTATTACTACAATCAAGGTTTAACACATCTCTCATAATTTAGGGTTAGCGCATGTCGTGTACGAGGAATGATACAAGTCAATTAGTCTTGATTTATAATCATTCCTATATTATAGCAAATGTGCTGGCCCTTAATTATAGCACGTTTTAGTTCTTGAGTATAAAACATGCATTGATCTTTGGTTATAACGCATTTCGCTGGTATAGTATGTTTGCTTGAGTGTAATTAAAATTAGTCGAAAATTTTCAGGCCTTGAACTTCATAGTTTTGGTGTAGTGAAACTGATCTTTAGGGACTTGATTTAAGATTGTATTCCAGTGAAGGGCATTTTTTTAATCACTATGAGGGGTTGAGGTTTGATTTAGAATTGTTTGGATTTTAAATGTCTGGGTTTTTGTTTAATTTTTTGTTGCATATTCATCATGGAGTAGGACTGGTGATGCTTTTATGTTATTTAATAGCTTTTTATCCTAGAAGATAGATTTATTTGGCAGGGGGTACTTTTTTTCCTAGGCATGAGTGAGACTTGTTGATCTGATTTGGATTTTTCGTTGTCTGGTCTGCAATCTGTTTTACTGCATTTGTTGTAGAGTAGCAATCTAGATGCATATTAAAGAGGTTTCGTTTGTTATTTTCTTCTAGATGGTTCTTTTATAGAATATTAGAATGGGAGATGACTTAAGTCAGGTCTTTTTTTCTCTTATTTGTTGTTTTTTGCAACTACGCTGCATTCTTTATCGAGCATGAACCTGGATGTTTTTAATATGATTTAATTTTCCCCCTTGAATGAGGCACTTTTATCAGGGCAAGGGGTCGCCAAGATGAATGTGTACTTGCTGTTATTACTACTACTACTACTACTACTATTGGGTTCTTCTGATTGATTTGAGTATGGGATGACCAAAGAGGTACACATCATGATTTTTCTTAATTTCCTAGAAGACTTGGTACTTGGTGAAATTCAATTGTTTTAACTATGTATGTTAACAGACTGAAAGATTTGATTCTAATTAAAGATAAGCAAATTTTCTGCCCACTTTTTTGATACAGTTTTAGATATTTATTCATTGTAATTAGAAATCCTACTTACATATACTAAGCCACTGTGGTCAGTAAGATGATCCATGAGTCGATGCTAACCTTTTTACTTCAAATGAGATCATAAAAATTTAGAGCTAATACTGCAATCCCACAGCCCTGTGGTGTATTGGATCTACGTAGCAGTTATGATGAAGTGACAGAATTTGTGTGACTATTATTAGAAGCTAATAAGTGGACAAGTTGCGATGAGATGCATCATGCATGTTATACTCCATATGCTAATACATTTTGTGACTCGTCAAATTGTTCTTCTGTACAAATTCATGATTTTTTTGTTTGATTATACATGGAGATTATGTTATTATCTTCCAGTATGTAGCTGTTAAAGTGAATCATGCCTTTATCCAGTCAGAAGCTTAGCCTAGTTGAAATGGAATCGTGAAAGTAGTCTTAGCATTTACTTACTTTTGTTGAAATCTCGTCTTGTATGTTCTTTGTTTATCTTGAACAGACGCTCATCGAAAGATTCCCACCAAGTTTTTATGTTGAAGAATAATAATTTTTATTCTGAGGGTTGTTTGGGGGGAAGGGCAGGTGGTTTCTTAGAACCTTTTTGAGGGGCTTAAGTAGCTTGTAAGTTAGGATTGATTGGTCAAAACTGGGATAATGATTTTTAAGCGGTTATATACCGTGTCACCTTTTTCAGAAGGTTCCCTTTATGTGTTCCAAGTCTAAAAACATTATTATTTTTGTTAGAATTTCTCTTTGTTATTTTATCTTGGTGACACTCTGATGAATGCTTTGTTATTTGTACACTAGCATTTAAGTAATGTTGACTTGGCATCCTTTTCAGTGTTATAATTTAATTATTATGAAAGCTCCTTCAAGTTCGGCCACTTGTTAAGAAACCCCCTATGTTATTTTTTATTGCAAAACCCCTTGCCGTTAAAGAAACCGTTAAAAACTCACTTACTTTTTTGTTTTGTTCTCTCAAATACACTTCAATTATGCTGCTCTTCTTTCGACAAGCGTTGACATACCTCATTTCCCCTCTTTTCACACCAAACCCAAGCAGCACTGATTCTTGACTGAGCTGTGTTTACACCAAATTCCTTTGCTTATGGAAATGGTAATGAAAGTTTAAAGTTTTTGTATAGATCCAGCCTGAGCTAGCCTTGCTGGTGAAGAGATATAGTGAAGTTTTTATATTTGTTTTGTTTTTTTGTAATTGAGGTTTATAGTTTTGTATAGTATTCTTTGGAGTTTTCTTGTGCTTACATGTTTGTAGTTACATTTCATATATCGGTAATGAAAAATCTATCCTTCTACAAAAAAAAAATCGATTCCTGATGAAGAAAACTCAGTCAAAGAAAGGGGTAAACTTTGAAATCCTGTGAGTTTAGTCTCTGTCTTTTCTGGTGTAATTCTCAATTTTTTAGTTATATTTTTCTTCTAGAGAAAACTGAAAGGAGAGCAAGGAAAATATGTTGAGAGGAAGAAGAAGAGGGTAATTTTAGAATATAAGTAGATTTTAACAGTTTTTTTTAAACAGCAAGAGGTTTTGTATTGAAATTATAACGTTAGGGGGTTTTGTACTAAGTGATGAAATGATAACGTTAGGGGGTTTCGTACTAAGTGACCAAAATTGAGGGTAATTTCATAATAATTACCTAATGTTATAATCATTCTGGAAAATCATACCGTATACTCTGTAGATCTTTTGTTTTTATCATGGATGAATTTGTGAATTTCGAGGCTCTAAAATTTTCTCAGTTGAATGGAAAAAATATAGTGTTTGGGGGATTTTTGCATCATTGTTGAATTTATGACAAAATGAATTTTTCTTATTTAACATGATAGGAGCAGTGCATTTCATAACTTTTCTTAAATTCTTTTTTTTAATTTCATATTGTTGTTCTTTCAGAATATGACTATAATTCTCTACTCAGGACAATGTTTGACATTGCACTTTTACGTGCCTTGTGTTTTTGCCTTTTTCTTTGTGTCCAAAATAATGGTTAAAAGCAAAAATTAGTCGAAGCAAAAAATTTTACTCGGGAAGAAACACAATTTGCAGTACTGATGGAAGATGGAATGTTTCACTCAAGTTAAGAATATCCTTTTATGTTTTAGGAAATTTTGCTTGCACTGCTTTCAGGTTGGTGAGATCTGGAGTTAATTTAATCATAGTATTTCCCTCTATGAAAAACTATTCCATGCTTCTAATTATTTTTCAGAACTAGTTATATTTCTAGGCATGTGATGATAGAAAATGCTCGAAACAACTGAACTATTTATAATTCCAATTGTATATGTTCCCTGTTCCTGCAATATTCCCTTCTTTTTATTTGTACGCAGCTTTCTGTTTGCTTATACAATGGTCTTTTCTTCATTTAGCCAAGGCATTAATTTAATTTGATTATAACTAAAAGATGTTAACTTTGTTTATAAAGATCATATCACAATATTGTTTGTGAACTGCTTCCTAGTTTTTGACATTGGAAACATTGAAATTGTCCGTTTTGTTTGTTGTACTTTTGGTAGTTTGAAAACATCAATTTATGGTTTGGTAAAATATCTAATCCAAGGAAAGTACACATTGAAAAAAAACCATCGATTCAGATTCAGCATAAGTGATTTCATAGTTGCTGTTCGGCATTTGCCTATCGTATGTAAAATTTTTACTCATAATCAGCCATGGTGATTCAGTTTGGACATCCTTTTCACAGGGAGCCATATTGCCAAAAGATTCCCCATTTGAGATTATTGATAATCCTGGTGACCAGTCAATCATTCTTAAACGGCAATTTGACGGTGAGACCATTCAAGTCTCTGTTTTCATGAATTTTGAAGAGGAGGAGGAGGATGATGATGAAGACGACAATGAGGGGGAAAAGACTAGTGATGCTCTTCAGCCAAACATCTCTATGGTTATATCAATTGACAAAGGTGCTGGCTCAATCTTGGAGTTCTGTTGCAATCTCGACTCTAAGGACGTTGAGATTGAAAGCATGGCGATGAAGAAGGCTGAGGCTTCTGAGGATGAAGGAGCTTACCATGGACCTGAATTCTCGTAAGTTCCTCAATTTCTTTGTATCTGCTGAGTATGTTGAAAGGTCATTGTATATGAATTTTTCTTCTGGCCGATTAATATGAATAGTTTGTTTTCAAATTCAAATTTGAACAAAAACGTGAATTTAGTAACTTAGTTGCATATATCTTACAAACTAGCATGAACATGGTTTTTTTAATAACACAACTAATATGGACCTTTTAATTAAAATAAAGTACCATGTACCGCTAGGGATACTTATCATGCAGCATGATAAGTATACAATGTTGTCTTTGTGTACTTTGTGTATCTTCTACACTACCTTCTTCCCTCCTATTTTTAAGGTTAGTTTGGGCCATATTTCGAAGCTGTCAACATCAATGGCATTGATTTCCTGCAGTTTTGGAATTTCAATTGGTAGTTTCCATGCAGAAAATACGTATCATACGGGGTAGATTTTATGAAAACTACTTCAAATAATTCTTTAGACTTGGCCTATATTGTTAACATTATATAGAAATTAAGCAAAGTGAGAAAAAAGGGGGAAAAAAGAAACACATCATTCTCTTCTTTTCTTTGCCTCCCTTAAAAGAGCTCCGCCACTTGCTATCTTTTTGCGGTGTAATTCTTTGGATGTGAATATTTGATTCATTCTCATGTTCTGCTGTGTTTGCAAACAGAGACTTGGATGAAAGTTTGCAGAGGGCTCTCCGCAAATACCTGGCAGCAAGGGGCATCAAACCGTCGCTGTATGAATTCTTGCGTGAATACATGATGACCAAGGATGACAGAGAGTATCTAGTCTGGTTGAAGAACCTGAAGGAGTTCATTGAGAAGTGAGGAAGAGTCGCACCTGCGTTCCCATTTGAGAAGTTGAATAGATAATTCTGCTAACATGCAATCTGAAGGACGTGAATTTTGCAAATTGTCATCGGTTTTCTTGTTGATTAAAGGTTGCTCATCATCAGTAAGTTGGATGAGGTAGAAAGCATATGTTTTGGGAAATGATATAGTTTTCTTTCTCTTCCCCTCCCTTGTCATGCATCGAAATGATTGTCTACATCAACCATCGGTTACGAGTTAGTGGTTGTTTGTATGACTTTATGATCCGAGTTTTCCATGAATGTGCACTCTAGTTTCTATTAAATGTCGGCCCTGAACTTCCTGTGTTTCTCTAATCGTTGAATCTGGTGCCTTTCTCCTCCAGATTGGATCTCTAGGCTCGTGCCTGATTGTTGCCTGCACTGACCGTAAACGTGTGGTTTGATATTTCAGCTTCTCTTGTTCTTTCTATTGCTTAAATTGTTTCAGACCAATATTGTTCAAACATTCATTAGCAATCCACAAGGCTTATTGTTAAACACACAGTTTTTACTTCTATACTCCCTCCACTCCAATGTAGCTATTCTTACGTTATTTGTAAATTTCTAAATGAGTGTGTAAATATCACCTCAATCATTAAATTTGCTCCAACTCTACAAGAGAGCACAGCTTTCTGAATATCTTATTTCTATTTTTGCCCCAACTTAGTGGTTGTTCAGCATCCTACTACTTTAATGACTAATTACACTTCTTTACTAAAATGGATTCAAATTAGATTAGCTTATATGTAGAAGTGTACAATAATATGTTTACTATAATTACATACACAATTTTGTAAATAGTTTTGCCAGTCATTTATTAAAAATAGTATTTTACATTTATTTTTATATGAAAATCATGGTTAAAGTATGTATTTTAATACTTATTTTATTATTTTAAACATTTACACTATGCACATGCACTTTTTTTTTAAGAAATCCCGTGTATATACATTAAATCATAATTAATATAATTGACATGAGGGGCGGAGAATTGTTTAGATAAAAACTTACTCTTCCTTGCACATGCATTTGCATATGTCAATATGCTAGTTTAGTATTAAACACATGTATCAATTTTTTCTTGCACTGATTTCCCCGTTGATCGCCTAGGCTCCCAGATTTTTTAAAATAGACACTCATAGTTAGTAATGGTGTCACTGGTATTTTGGTAAAAATATCATATATTAGTTAACTTATAGTCTTGCCCCCAGTGGCTAAAGTTTCTGGATTCGCCCCTGCCCCAACATGTCCAAGTGCAAAATAGGGGTTATAATTTGTCAAAGATTTGCAGTCAATCCTACCATGGAACCCAAGACAGATAACTCTCATGGACATGGCACTCATTTAATTACAATTTGAATTTTTTAAATTTTTTATATAATTGGAAATTTTTATTTTACTAATTTCTAAAATTTGCTTTGGACTTTATAATATTTTTAGATAGTTGTGAAAAAATATTTTTAATTATTTATAATATTTTTGTAATTAAAATAATATTAAAATTTTCACAATAAATATATATTTAGTTTTAAAAAATATTATAGCAACTAAAATATATTTTCATATTTTAAATTATTACATCAATTAAAAATTACAATCTTTTTTGGTTTTTAAAAATATTAAAACAATTATAATATATTTTTGAAAATATATTTAGGTGTTTTTGAATTTTTAGAATATCTTATGCAATATCTTTAGTAACTAATTCAAATCAGATATTCATATATAGAAAAAAGATCAATTTATAATTAGATATTTAGATATATAAAAAACTAATTTATAATCAATTAGAATATCTTTGACAATATCTTTAGTAACTAATTTAAATCACAAATAAAATAAAATCCCTTCATTTAGGTTTTTAAAAAAATTAATTATAGAAAAATTAAATATTTAGATATAGAAAAATCAATTTATAATCAATTACTATATATTTGTTAATATATTTAGTAACTAATTCAAATCCCAAATAAAATTAAGAAAAAATTGCTTCTAGCCCCCAAAACCATTACAAGTATCCCCCCCCCAAAGACTTTTTTGACAATCCCAAAGCCACCATAACAGTTCAAATATTCCTTTAGCCCCCAAAACTCTTCCCCACGTGACCCGACATTTAAAAATAAAAATCTTTTCCCAAAATGTCCTTTGATTTAACCGCCTCCTATTTATCAATATCATTCATCGTCAATCGTGCCATCTCATCTCTCTTCTGTCCAAGCGAACCGACAATCCCCATTGCAAAACCCTAATCTTAAATCAATCCACTCGAGAGCATAATCCTACTCTTAATCGAAAACATGACCGGCAAGTCAACTCCCAAAGCAGTTGTCTCTGTCGATTTCAGCGAAGACGACAACTTCGCTGAAATCGACAGAGACGACGCGTCACAGTGCGTCGTCTCAAAAAGACCTTCCAGCACAGTAGAGTGGACTGAAACTGGCACATCAATTGCTGATGTTCTAGAGGACATCACAGCCAGTTATTCCCATCACACAAGTCCAGCTCAACCCAAGAAGCTAGTCCAGCGCATAATTCTAGAGGGCAACACCGACACCGACGACGCCTCTAGAGCACTCCTGGATCTACAGAGAAGACCTAAGGAGACGCATACGACAGCACAAAAAAGTAATTTTTACCACAAAATTTAGTTGTTTATGATGTTGCATGATGTGTTAATTGTGAATGATACTGTTAAGTTGTGAATGTTAGCTTGTAGTTGTTAAGAAAATTTATTAATTATTAAGGTTATGCATTAGTTGTTAAGGTTATTGATCTGTTGTGAATGTTACTATTCAGTTGTGACATGTGTCCTGTTAGTTATTAAGCTTATGAGTCTGTTGTGAAGGTTACTTTTTACATACGACTGTTAGTTGTGAAGGTTACCGTTAACGGGTGGCTGTTAATTGTGGATGTTACTGTTTACTTGTGGCTATTAGTTGTGAATGTTACTGTTAACTTGTGAACTGTTAGTTGTTAGGGTTATGCTTTTATTGTCAAGGTTATTGATTGGTTGTTGAGGATATGCTTTGATTGTGAAGCTTTTAGATTTGTTATTAAGTTTATAATTTCTTTGTTAAATTTACATCATAATTGTTATAGTTACAGATTATTTTTAAACTAATTATGTCTTGTGGTTTTGCTTTGTAGACAAAATGCAAAGTCCATATCTGAGTCGCGACCTACTTCCAGCTTCACTGCGTACTATGAATTCATGCATACTTTAGTACAACATATGGGGCAAAGACACTGGGAGGCCTATGAAGATAGTGTATTCAAACACTACATTCATTTTGGACCTCTTGGTCTTGATCTTCCTACTTTCAAGCACGTACTGAGACAGTGGGATGAGAAAAAGATAAAATTTGTCTTCATTGATACAAAAACTAAAGAAGACATCTGTTAGGTGTAAAAAATTAACTTCCCGACGAGGGGTCATTTGTGTTTATAAGAGTGGTTTATTACAAACTAATAATTAATGTTTTACAACAGAGGAGACAGGAAGACCCTTCATGTTTAACGTGAGTTCTTCGGTAGCTATAGGGCGCCTCCCTCGATACTTGTGTCGAGTTTGCTTCCCTTGGACTATACGATTGAAGTCACAACTGGAGATTCAGTACTCAGTAAAAACTCCGGTGTGATTGGGTTCAAGTCTACCCGAGGCCAAACAAGTGCTTGCGCTTGTCGGCCGACTGCTTGAAGAGAGCTGCTATGCAAGAGCTTTGCAAAGCACCTAAGAGCCTCAAGTCTGAGAGTTTAGACGAGTCTGCAAAGAGCTATGAGCCTCAAATCTGAGAGTTCAGATCTAGTCTGCAAAGAGCTATGAGCCTCAAATCTGAGAGTTCAGATCGAGTCTACTAAGAGATTTCAAATTTGAGAGTTCAGATCGAGTCTACTTCAATAAGGGAGCCTTTAGCAAATGAGCCAAGGTTCAACCTTCAGAAGTCGGATGATTAGCTAGCTAAAACCAAGCAGCCAATCAACTCCTTAAACGTTGGTCCAATGTAGCTTTAAATAGGCAAGGGATAGTATGGACCATCCCTTGATTTGGGGATTTGATCACTAGTAGGGGTGAGGAGCACCAGCCGCCCTAGCTGCTGGATGTGACCACCTTGGTGGTCCTGTCAGCCGCCTATTCTTGTAGCCATCAATGTCCATGCCTAGGTGAGGAGCACCATGCTCTCCCCCTTGATTTGTGGGATATGACCACTGATATGACTGTTCCTATACCCCAAGTGGGTAGCATGCTGGCGAGCTTGGGGCTGTTAGGTGAGCTTGGCCTTTAGGCGAGCTCACGTCTCAGGTGAGCTCGACCCTACAGGTGAGCTTTAGCTCAAGCGGGCGAGCTCAACAATCATGCAAGGCCAAACTCGTGCTGGAGAGTCGTCCTTAGTCGAGTCATCTTCAATCGATTCGTGCTGGCGAGTCAGCCAAACAGGCAGGCTCAATTCATGTGGACGACTCAAGCAGACAAGCGAGGGCGAGCTCATAAAACAGGCGAGTCCGACTCATGCTGGCGAGTTGATTTCGGGAGGGAGACTGACACCGCCCTTCGAGTAGACACGAATGGGTGTCGTCCGGAGGTCTCTTGGCGAGTCAACTTCGAGCGGGAGACTGACACCGCCATTTGAGTCAACACGAAGGGGTGTCGTCCTAAGATCTTAGCGAGTCAACTTCGAATGGGAGATTAACACCGCCCTTCGAGTCGACAAGGGGGTCTCAACCACTTAGTCTTTGAAGTGCTGACTGAAACCGCCCTCCGAGTTGACAAGGGGGGTCTCGGCCACTTGGTCTTCAAAGTGCTGACTGGCACCTCCCTTCGAGTCGACGAGGGGGTCTCGGCCACTTGGTCTTTGACGTGCGGACTGACACCGCCCTCTGAGTCGACAAGGGGGTCTCATACACTTGGTCTTCGAAGTGCTGACTAGCATCACCCTTCAAGTCGACGAGGGGGTCTCGACCACTTGGTCTTCGACGTGCGAACTGACACCGCCCTTCGAGTCAACGAGGGGGTCTCTACCACTTCGAGTCGACGAGGGGGTCTCTGTCCTTCGAGTCGACGAGGGGGTCTCGTCCACTTGGTCTTCGAAGTGCGGTCTGACACCACCGTTCGAATCGACGACGGGGTCTCCACCACTTTGAGTCGACGAGAGGGTCTCCGCCCTTCAAGTCGATGAGGGGGTCTCGACCACTTGGTCTTCAAAGTGCGGACTGACACTGCCCTTCGAGTCGACTAGAGGGTCTCGGCCACTTGGTCTTCGAAGTGCGGACTGACACCCCCTTCAAGTCGACGAGGGGGTTTTCGCCACTTCGAGTCGACGAGGGAGGCTAGAATCTTCGAGGAGTCGGCCCTTCAGGTCGTCTGGGGGGATGGACTCTTTGGGGAGTCGGCCTGAGTCGGGTGGAATCTCGGGGAGTCG